CAGCACAGGTCTGCAATGGCAGCCATGTGTGTGTCCTTTGTGTGGTACTCACGCATTCCTCCTCCTTCTCCATGCCTGTGGGCATCTGAGGGACCGCACGGTTGATGGCGGCGAAGTCCGGGAGGTCCGGGACCTCCTCCGCCCGGAACACAGGCATAGGTTTGGTTGAGTCGAGCGCTCGCGCTCTGAATGACAGCTTTGACATCACTTTCACTCAATTGACAAACGATCGCACAATCAATGCTTTGTCGTCCCCTTCACTCCCGAGGAGACTAAAGAGACCCTATTTCGGGCCAATTGGTCGCGAAATGGATGCGATGTCTGCTTAAGACTAATCCATTTTAGTTATGAAATTCAATTCACGGGATAATTGGTATAAATTGTGCACATTTTACACCATTTCTGTACAAATATGGCCGACTATACAAACATTACATACATATAGCCATACAATACATACAAACATTCACTCATTCATTGCTGCACTCGATGCACACCAAACACATTGCAATGCATTACACACAACACACTCATACAGACACCTATTGGCGCGCAAACACATCGTACATACACCAAAGCACACCAATAGATGGCAAACACACTCCCGCTATACTCTCAATTGTGCCTCACTTTTGAACCAAACTTTTTTTTTATAAGTTCTAGATTTAATTTAATATTAATACTGATTATTATTTAATTGATCTTGTAATATTAATTCACTATCAAATGCAACCACTTTTATATTGGTACTTTATAGTTAGTCATATATTTTCATTACTACTATATTAATATTAATACGGTCTAACTGTTAGACTCTAACACTTAAGTTATATAGCAATAATAGACATCACATTGTGTAAACATGTAATAAGCTTACCGGCAAACTTTAATTAATTGAATGCAAGACTTATTGAATTTTTTATTATAATATCATACGATTATACTGGAAACATTTTCCATGATCTAAAATTGTAACCTTGCTACTCATTTAATACTTTTCTGACAAATCCAATACAATGTTATAGTTTTATAAATTATAAAAACAATGAATGATTTATTGAACACATTAAATAAGTGGCAAATGATTAATTTGAATCAAGTCACATACAATTTACTAACATACAGTATTATTTGTTAAGTTACTATATAGTTAATTAACTATAAAATAGTATTTCAATACGTGTGCTTTGGCTTCAATATGTTTTTATGGAAAATTTGAGGCCAACTCCTAATCACAAGCAATTCGTACTTAATTTCTATTTCTGACTCAACTTTTCTAAACTCAATAGTTATAATAGATTTGAATTACTTTTTGCATTTTGTAATTGATCTGCAATTATAAATTGAATTCAATACCAGGAAAACACTGTAATAATTATTTACTAGCTAGTGTTATAATATATTATATGGTTGTACAGTATTTAAAGGTGAATAGTATCTAGCAGATTTTCAACTCAAAGCAGGGACCCATTTGGTTGTGAGCACATGTCAGTCGCATTTCACTTCCTATTTAATGAACTTTTATATGAATTAGATTTTATCATAAAATCTTATGTTAAATAAATATAAAAAGTAAGAAAAATCTTGAGACTAATATAATGATGTGGTTTACATTATGATAGTTTATGCACTCTTAGTCTCGATTAATAAGTAAATCCAATGAAATATTACAATCATTTACCAATAAAACATACCAATTCATATACCATTTAATTCTAGAATAAACTATAATTTTCCAATTAACTGACAATTTCAATGTTATATTCAAGTGTCAACTTTCATAGTAATATCAAGTTGTATTGACCAATAACTTATCAATTTCTTGTTGTTCTGTACAACATTGTTCATATCGTATTACTATACCATAAATATAGTACTGTATCAATCTATGTAATTGAAATCGCTATCCTGTATTAATAAAGTTTACACTTTACAATGTACAGTGTACATTGTGTCAACTTATAAAATATACTGTATGACAACTATTAATATTAATAACGATTAACAGACACTTTTCTTAATTTTGTAGATTATCACTGTAAATGAAATTTTTTTGTTAAATAGATATTGTTATTGTCAATTTAAAATGTTAGGACTTCTAATTTTCAAGGATTATGTACCGTAATAAAATTTAGCACATTGAATTTTTTTTATAAACAATGTTTCACAAAGATTAATATTACATTTGATCGTCTAAAAATAGCTACAATACCTGTAATCAAATGTTTACCAGTAAACTAGTAAATTACGGTATATAATAAATTTATATAGAATAATTGATATCATAATGCTTTTAAAAATGCAATACTGTATTATTAATTTTATGATATTTAAATTAATGGTCTGTGAATTGAAAGAAAATCAGACTACACTCACAAATGCTTATTTGAGTTAATTGTAGATAAATTGATTAGTTTTGACACAAATATTGATAATAATTATCACAAACTGAAAACTAAGACAAATCAAATCGACAATTATTTGATATAATTATCACACATTTACAAAATGTCATCGCATTTCGAGATACAGGTATTAATGGAGGAAATGAAAGCTTTAATTCTCTTAAAATTAAATTTTTATTTAAATACAATTTCCAATACTTTATTGATTTAAAGATCCAAACAATTGAATGAAAGACTAATACAAATGAGACTATAATCAGAAAAATGGTTTCCTTTAATTGTTATTAATATTGAAATATTTGCGAATAAATGACACAATTATTACAGAATTAATAAACCTATAAAACAGATCTAAACTGGAAATGAGATTAACTGCAGATATACTGTTGAGAGCTTGAATTGAGTGTAACTTTAAATCAATGCTTAATTACTATTTAAAAATTGATAATAACTGACAAATAAGTGATCTTAGGATCAGATCCAATAAATAGAGACAAATGTCTAGAAGCGAGGTCTCGGGTGTTCGTAGTTCTCGTGATCTATTTGTGACCAAAACTATGACACAAACAAGCAATCAATGGTCAGACAGTGGCAGTGGTGTAGGTGTGAGGCATACCTTATACTGCTTCTTGTCGTACTCCTGCCACGGCTCGGGGTTTCCCTTACGGTTCCAGCTGTTCACCAATCAGACAACAGTTACCACAACATTATCACACAATGCGTGTCCACACAAACCTCACTTCGGGGCTCTTGAGGGCCAGTCTGAGGATATAAACCCCGGCCCAGATACCACCCGCGCCCACCATCGCCAGCAATGGGATCAACTGACACACAGACACACATATGAATGGCAATGCATTTAGAGGTCATATCAATCACATACCGATGGGTTCTTGCGGAGACCGGCCGCTGAAAAACTTGGCATTGCCTTCATCTTCGTGTCAATACTTGTGGCAAATCAGAGACAATATCTCAGCGAATGAACCGTTGGATCAGTTGTTTATGAAATACTGATTGCGAGACCAAATGTGAGCCAAATCTGTATTTTGCAAAAACGCAGTCAATGTCTGCACAACACATCCATTACGACACGCATTGCACGACACATCCCCGGCCACCACAACCCCTATATTAGGGCCCCTACACCTTCACTCCCATCCCATATGCAGTCATTTAGTAAACCAATATATTTGTTATGAATTTATAGTCAATTATATTATGGAAACAATTAAATTATTTGATTTAAAATAAAGTAAAATATATGAGAAATGAACGTAATTTCTTAAAATTGTAAAACATTTTCAGTGCAATCAGTGCTTTAAATGCGTGAATGCGCTCTACTGTTAGTGCCATCGAGTGTCACACTATTATAACTCTATTACAGTATTTGTATGAAAAGAGTGTAACACTAGACGGCGCTAATAGTAGAGGCATTCACAATGTTGACTCACATTGACTGTCAAAACAAACACAGTTTGCTATTTAAAAAGTTTTTAATTTTAATTTCATTTAATTGACAAATCATTTCATTTATACTTAGTTTGTATTAAATGTGATGTTATTTCCCAAACGACTTCGTCGTGAGTGTTATATTTGTGGATAAATACATGATTTGGACACAAGAGTAGATGCAGTGATCACTGAATGGATTCCACCCACTATTGCATGCAATCAGTTGACTGAAGAGATAATCCAATTGATCCAAGAGATAATCCAATTGTCATAATCGATGGCTTTGTATACTTCCGATTGGAATCCTTTGGGAAAAGATATTTATTACCGAAAGCATGAGTTGAATGCCATGTTTTGGACCAATGAAGTGAACCTCAAAGACTTCATCGTGTCTTCGGCTCCATTCGGGGGTCCAATAGGTTTGTCGCAATCAAACACAATCTCATCACTGAATCAATTGACACGATATTTGGTTTGTTAGCTCTGATTGAGAGAAAGAACTGGAACCGATTGGCGACGAATGGTAGCACTGGTCTGAAGCCAAACCAATTCAATGTATTCATCTTCTCGTCATTCGGTGAACTCATATCAACCATCAAATGGACGGGCAGTGAGTTATCACTGATCTCGTGGTCTAATCGCGAGGACCTGCTGTGCATACAAGACGACGGAATTGTCTTTGTTTATGACATTTACGCCAATTTGCAGAACACTTTCACTTTGGATCAAGAGATACGAGACACCAAAGTCTTGGAGTGCAAGACATTTAACGGCATTCACGGCACCGGCATTGCAGTGCTCACCACTTCCTATAGATTTTTTGTATTAAATAATATAAATGAACCCAAAATCAGACGATTAGCCGAAGTTCCGGGTCTTGTGAAAAGCCCTCAGAGTTGGGCAGTCGTTGCGTCCAGTAATGAGACCATTGTTTTGGTGGCCAAAGACAATGAGTTGTATTCACTGAATGCTAATCACCAGAGCTGTCAGCCCTTGAATCCAGCCATCAGTGCGTTTGCGTCGATCACAGAAATGAGTGTTTCCTACGATTCCAGTCATATATCACTTCTGACAGACGCCGGACTTCTATGGATTGGGAGAACTGATAATGATTTGCGTAACAATTACTGCGAGTTTGACACCAAAGCCAAAGCCAAACCGCAGCAACTGTTGTGGTGCGGGAACTCAGCCGTTGTGGGCCTCTGGAAGAACATCCTCTTAGTGGTGGGTCCTGACAAGGATTGGCTCAATTACGTGGTCGACCAACCCGTCCATATGGTCCAAGAGATCGATGGCATTCGCATCATTGGTAACGAAATGCACGAATTCCTCCAGAAAGTGGCGCCAGTAGTGGTCGAGATATTCGGAATCGGATCCATAGCTCCCGGCGCTCTACTCCTGGAGGCCAACAAAGAATTCCTGCGCCACAGCCATAGGGCTGACGAATACATGCGAATGATTAGCGAACGAAATGAGATCGAGATGTCTGTCCAACAGTGCATCGAAGCGGCCGGACATGAGTTTGGGATCAGCACTCAGAAGATGCTGTTGAGAGCCGCCTCTTTCGGCAAATGCTTTTACCCTCGAATGCAATCCAAACCTTTCGTCGAAATGTGTCAAACATTACGAATTCTGAACGCAATAAGGCATCACTCGATTGGCATACCTTTGAGTTACAATCAGTTGGAAGTGTTAACAATGGAAGTACTGATCGACCGTTTGATACTAAGGCGTAAATTTTGTTTAGCCATTCGTATCGCGGAGTATCTGAAGATGTCTGATGAAAGCGGTGCCGCACGAGTACTGGGGAACTGGGCTTTCCTTAAAGTGAGGCAGACTTTCATAGACGACGAGCGCATAGCATACGATATCTTTAATAAATTGGGCTATGGATCAGGTGTTCCCTATTCAGAGATCGCCAACAAAGCCATTGAGTGCGGCAGAACACAACTGGCCATCAAACTACTGGACCACGAGCTGAGGTCGAGCCAACAGGTGCCTCTCCTTCTTAAGCTCAAACAACACAGACTCGCACTCCAGAGGGCTATAGAGAGCGGCGACACGAATCTGATCCATACAGTGATCATCCGATTGCGTGAAGTGCTGTCCGCCGGAGAGTTCTTAATGACAATCAGAGACTATCCGATCGCATATTCTCTCTACCAAAAGGTATTCAAATTGATTAAAACTATAGACATTTCTCATATGTTTGAACGGCACCAGTATTGTAGAGAAGAAGAGCCCGAAAAGCTAACAGACCTCTACTATCAAGAGGACGACTTCGTCTCTGAGGCCAACTCATGGCTCAGTCGTAGTCTAAACGCTCAGAATTTGACACAAAAACAAAGTTATTTACAGTCAGCCTATGATTCATATAAAAAGGCCAGAAATGAGTTCAATTCGTCGATAATTGACGAGAATTTACGTTTAATTAAATATCAAATCAAATTAGAGGAGAAATTTCATCGACAATATCTTAATCTCTCTTTACATCAAACCATTAAACAACTGATTATCGATAAGGAGTATAAATTGAGTGAAGAGCTCAAGAAGGAGTTCAAAGTAGGAGATCGTAGGTATTGGTGGCTAAAGATGACTATTTTGGCCGAAATGTCTGAATTTCTCGAATTGGAAAAGTTTAGCAAAAGTAAAAAGTCTCCCATCGGTTATGAAGTGAGCTATCATTCATGCATTGGTTCATGAATACAGTATATAATTTTACTAATTTTCTTTCAATGTATAGCCATTTGTTGACATTTGTCTCAAACATCGCAATCGATACGAAGCCCAGAAATATTTACTCCGAGTCAGTGACGACAATAAAATCAAATATTACGTCCGATGCGGGTATATATGCGTTACAGACGTGTATTTGACGTTAAATTAATTGCAAATTATATTACAGTTTACTAGAAGACGCGGCAAAGTTTGCATACGAGTCCAAAGATGTGGAGGCATTGGACTACGTGTGCAGTAAGTGCGGGCCAACCAACCGAATGCTGGCCGAGAAAATCAATACAATGAAGAGTCAACTCAGGAGTAAATAGAAGTACAGCTCATTGATGACCAAAAATTATTATTTAAATCAATGTTTTATTTTTAAAATTAGTAGTTACATTAAAAACTTAAATTACATAAAACCGTAAAATTAATTAAAATTTTTCAACTGAGAATGAATTGCTTTGCATTGAATACAAGAGAGTATATGACTTAGAGTTTAAATTAATCATAATTATAATATAATAATAATAATAACCGCAAAAGATTCGTTAGTTTTTATAAAACTATTGAATAACGAAAGTCACAGCAAATGAGTGAACGGTAGAGGCGATGATGAATGCGTGTATGAATGCAATCATTATTACAGATGTGGTGTTTGTCTCTCAACTCAAGAGGAATCGCATTTAACGGAAGATTCTTTGAAGTTGGTCTCCGAACAATCACACGATTCAGTGGTCGCACTATTAAAGCCATTAATTCGCTCTAAATTTGATGGCCTTTCGATCAAAACATTGAACTGATTTGAAATCACTTTATGGTTTGATTTATCGTTTGTAATAACATTTATAAGGGGAGAGCCGTTAACCAAATCTATTTGTGTGACTTTAGGCTGAGTCGAAGCACTGACTTCGGTGTCCGATATCTGGTTTGAGAGCGAATGTGAGATCAAACTATTAGAAACAGGTCTTATGTTTAGTGAGTCCTCTATCTTGACAGCCAAGGGTGCGCTCAAAGCGCTGTTATTGCGAGTGAAGGGCTCCCTCTCGCCGACCAGACACTTGTCGCTGTTTCCACTCCTCTGCGTCAATATCCTAATGTTTGGCCACACTTTCAGTGCTTTAATGTTAGACCAATTGAATAACTTTGAAAAACTCGATTCACTCTTCGTCTTGACATTCAATGTCTCGTTTGTCTTCTTTAAGTGAACCGACTGTCCGTTTGAGGCGACGTTGTGTTGCTTTGGGATCGCATTACTGCCCACAGCATTCTGAACGTAGGGAATGGGAGGCAAACCGTTAGGCGGTCTTCGCGATACATTTCTGGTGTTGTCGTGAATGGTTCGGTTCAAGAGATCGTTGGACAGCAAGTCGTTGCTCTCATTATTAGTGTTACTCTCATTGAATACATCGGCAAACAATGGGTCGCTATTCGAGTGATTCATCTGAAACTTGAATCCATGCTCTAAAAGGGCTGATGTGTTATCATCTGATGACTGAAGCATTAGATTCCTTTCAAGACATGGATTCCTTCCCTGATGTGGTTGTAAAGGAAGTGTGAGTTTTGGCTGATTTTTGAACGCATTGGCCGCAGATATGATGTTCTTCTCGAAGTCAGACGACGGCGACAACGAGTCTTCGTTCACATCATTTATATTTGAATTATTATTTATATTATTATTGTTGTGATTATTATGAATCGTGTTATGGTTTGGATACTCGAGTCGATTGATGAGAAGACTTGTCTGCAACTCATTCGTCAGCTTATCGTTATGCTCGAGAGGAAGGGCACCAGAATTGCCACCAATAATGTTGTGGTAATTATTATTTGCGCTGTGAATACGAAACCCATTCTTCCGGTTATTGTTAGAGTTGACAGATTGCGTGGACCTCGAAGAATATATAGCGGCCACACAGTTAGTAATGGTTCCACTCTTATAGCGATCCCAGAGAAGGGGTAATTCAAAGAGTCTCTCCTCAACGCAGAGAGCGGTGAGTCGGGCGTCTGCGTCGTGATCCCAACAGTCCTCTATTGTCTCCTTCAGGGAACGTATGGCCGGATTGCTGTCCTTCCAGATGTCGGGAAACAGAGGTCTGGCCTTATGTCTGGTCACCATTACCTGCATTTGTTCGAACGTCGGGTGAAGTCCCAACTCTTTCTCGAAGGGCTGCTTATAGTTCGGGACTTCTATTCCCTGATACAAATCAGAGCAACGACTGGCGCTCTCCCACAACACCAAACCCAGAGCGTAGACATCAATCTGTTTCATAGCGGACTCGCAATCACGCAGATTCACCGCGCCCTCCAGTATTTCTGGGGCCATATACCTCAGGGTCCCGACGTCGTTGAGGGATGCCGTCTGCGAGTCGAAGCGTTCGCCACACGAGTAGTATTCGGAGCCAGAGATACGGATTGCGAACTGGAAGTCACATATCATACAAGTGTTGTCCGCTTTTATTAATATATTTCTTGAGCTGAGGTCCCGGTGAGCGACACACGGCTTGCGTCTGTCCCCTTTGTTCACCTCAGAGTGCAAATAAGCCAACCCTTGAGTTACCGTTTGAATCATTTTACATAACGTCAACCAATCGATCGTATTATTACGTAAGTAGTCCTGAAGGCAACCCAACGGCGCATAACTCAAGACTAAGTGATACTCGGGTCGACCATCGCTGCAGATTTCTTGAAACCCCAAAAGTCGGGGCAAACTATGACTGAATTCCATAAACGATAATAAATAAATATCCTTTTCATTCAAATAGTAGTCTCTATGTTGTGGCCCAAACTTCTTCACGGCTACCGTCTTGTCGTCGAGTATACCCTTCCAGACGGAGCCATACCTTCCGCGACCTATTTCTTCAATTAATTTCAAATTTTCTAAATCACATAAAAGAGAAGAGCTTTGAGTGGACGAGGAATTGGATTCCAATAAGTGAAGCGAATCGGAGTTCTTGTGTTTAGTGTTGGCGGCCATTACTGAAGAGCTGAGGGCTCGGCAGCAGATCGTAAATCCCAACCCTATTAGAAGAACACTAACGAGAGCTGCCATACATGCCATCAAAACTGCTTTGTTGGACATATTCTCCTCATTTTGGAAACTCTCTAATTTCTCTGCAAATCAATTACAAGTACATTTGCCATTAAATTGAATGCCATTATAGGGTGTGAAGCAATGCACAAACCATTTGTATGTCTGGGCAACGATTGTAAAGGTTGGTATGAATTGAGATAATGTTGGGCCGATATGTTGGCGTTGCAAAGAGGGCCATAACAGCAGCAGAATCGAGTATTATTTAGAGCCCCCGTGGGCTTCACTGACGAATAGCACTGTTCCCTTTGACACGACATGTCGGGCGATGTATCCCAACAACCTGTTCCCACAACACACACACATGGATTAGTCAACCAATTCAATGCATACGTCAATCCATGAGACATACCTTTGGCCAGAATAGTGTAGAGACTAGCGTTTGTCGGATCAATTGGATTGTATTGCCATAATGTGTAACACGAGTGGTGTTCCGTCGGACACGTCTCCGTCACCACCGTCGAGTTCGTGTCGAAGAGCTCAGAGTCAATTGGATTCACAGATTCTGTGCCCGAAGTTGTTGTGACAGATCTAACACTTCTATCGGTTTGTGGCTTAGAATAGACACAAACCATCGATGCCATTACCACATCTCCATCTGCCAACATATATGTCACCAATTAATTGTTAATTATCACAGTCAGGGTACTCAACATTTTCAATACAATTAAGTTTGTTGG